GCTCCCCAAAATGACAGTGCAGTTCTTCAGGGAACTTTGTGTCGTGAAGGGGATGGTGCTTTGGGCCTGGTGTTGGTCCGAACCCATGGTGCTGGAGGTCCCTTTTTAGGGTACAGTGTCCCCAGAGGGGACACAGGACGGACCACCCCGGCTGTGGAGGGGACCCTGGGGAGTGGTGGAGGTGTAGGAGAGGACGAGGAGGCCCAGTGGGGTTGGAGAGAAGCAGGGGCCTGAAGTGATGCCCTGGGATGAAAATGAGGATGAGGATGAGGATGAGGATGAGGATGAGGATGAGGATGAGCAGCTCAGGGCTCGGGTTGACGAGGCCTTGGTTTCCACAGGGAATAGGGAACGATTTCTGCAGGGAAGCAGGAGCGGTGGCTGCAGCGAAGGCATTTGGTGGCCATCCCCATGTCCCCACCGGGCCGATATCGGCCCTGTCTGTGCCACCAGCCCTGCTCTGCTCACCCAGCCCCGCGCTGGGAGCTCTGCACCCCTTTTTGCTCCTGAACTCCCATTATTTGCACATGGTTCAACAGCAAGCGGCTCCCAACAGGTTGGGGAGAGCCAATGTATCCCCTCTCACATTCCCCCCCATGCTTTTGGGCTCCTGCTCGCTCTCCATCAGCATTTCAGGCTCTTCCCGCTCACCAAAGGGAAGGAGAGAGTGGGTTGGGACCAGCGTGGGCCCGGTTTGGCTCTGCCCAGCTCCCACCACCTTTTTCCAGCAGCACCAAGGCTTTTAAAGGGTTTTTTTCTGCCCAGCTGCAATTCAGAAACTGGTCTGAAGCAACCCTCTCAAATCTGTTTCTTTGACTCATTTTTGCTAGATTTTTTTGCTGGATTTTTGGGTTTTTTTTTTTTGCCCCCTCTATTTCAAGCCCCAACCCTTCAGTATCAGCCTACTTGATATTTACACCAGCCGTGCGGGGGGGTTTTGGGACCACCAGTTAAATATTGCAACTGGTCTGAACCTTTGGCTGGGACGGATCCCAGTTCTCTGTAAATAGTCGAGCCCAACAGAAAGACTTGAAGGCAATTTCCTATTTATAGCAATTTAATATTGGTTTTTTTTGCTGGTTCAAGTACACCTGGGGAAAGGTGGTGCGAGAAATAACAGTATTACTAATTATTATTAATTAAAGAAGTCACGACTTAAGCGAGAGCATCGTAGCTGGCCGTTAACATGAAGAACTATCTCGACTTGAACGCGGTCTTGTATATTTTGTAGCAGTTTTGTACCAATCTCCTGTGTGGTAGCTGAAGCGTGGTACAGGTAGGCTTCTCATTTTAATCAAACTCATTAATTTGCTTTATCCATACATCAGCTCTACAACCCAGCACCCCCAGAAAGGCTTTGTGGACTCTGGTAGCTGTTTCCTAGAGCTGAAGCCACTTTAGCACCCAGCTCGTTTTGCCTAAATTTGTCCATTTTGCAAGGTTCACGCCTGGTTTCTACTTTTTTTTTTGTATATGCCAACAGTGAAGCGTCTCTGATTTCACCCCCTCCACTCTGGTACCACTTTAACCATTTTGTATTTATCGGTGATAAACCCCAATAAACCTCATTTCAATGAGTCTCAGCTCTTAGTGTGTTTCTGCTGCAGAGCCCTCGACGCTCAGCTTTCCTCCCCATGCATTATTTTGATAAGCCCCAAACACAGGCTTAGGGCTGGTTCCCCATCACAACGAACCTTCCCTGCTTCCAAAAGAGTGGGATTGGTTTTTCCAGGGATGCTGCAGCCCCACATTTTCACCAAAGAGGAGTCCAAGGATGAGTTTTTCCACCCTGCCTGAGGCATCGCAACCCCAGGTAAGGCTCATCTTCCATGGGTCATTAGAGCTCATGAACAAATACACTGGAGGATTTAAGTTTGTGCTGTCATGTGGATGTTGTTAGGAAACAGAGTCAGGGAGTTAAATGGATTTTGTTCAGGCATGAAAGTGCTTTAATAAGCTATTGCTTCTTTTCTTGCTTAGTAATAACTCTAGGACACACATAGGGCATTTGGTTTTTAATTTTCATACTTTATTTAAGGTTAGCCTGCATTATTCACTAAGTACCTGCACGCTTTACAACAGAGTAAACCTCCTGTGTGCCCAGTGTAGACACCAACAGCCCCTCCTCATTGTTCTTTGGTTAGAAAAAAAGGCTTTTTAAAAAAAAAGTCACCATCCGAATAGCAAAAACCCAGCTTAGCTGCACACTAGAACATGTAGTTACAACAGATCTGCCACTGTCCTGGGCCCCACACGGGCTGAGAACAGACATATGGCTTATTTTTTTGTTTTATTTTCAAGTAACTTCTTCTACAGAAGAGCTTAACTCCAACTAAAACATCCAGCATTGAGTAAACTACTCCAACGCGAGCAGTCAGGGCAGACTGAGCGTTGGTGAGAACAGAACCACAGAGGCCATTGATTTTGCACCACGGAGCAGCCTCTACTTCCCATGGGATTGGCAACACCACCCCGAGCTCCTGGGGAGCTGCACCCCCAGATCCCAACCGCTGCCTGCTCCAGCTTCCTACAACAGCCTGTGTAAACCTAGAGCAGCTTTGCTAGCAGGAGTAGGCCAGGAGTGTGGATGCTCACACCTCAGTACAGCTAATGTGCATCTGCTTCTGCTGCCAATAAACAGCCATGACCTCAGCATAGGAACTTCCACTTCCAATAAATAAAAATATTGCATTTTTCTATCGGCCTGTTTGGGAGTCAGTTTGGAATGTCGGTTTCAGTGCTAAAAAGAGTCCAAAATTAAGCAGTTAATGCTTCCAGCTCTTTGGGTTTCAGCAGCTTCTTGGCGGCGATGATGGTGTTCTTCATCAGCATGGCCACTGTCATGGGTCCCACGCCTCCAGGGACCGGTGTGATGTAGCTGGCTTTCTTCTTCACCCCTGTAGGGGAGAAAAGCAAGAGCTCAGCACAGAAATACAGAGCAAAAATGCTTATCCAGGCTGACATTGCTCAAATTCCTTCAAGATTGCCAGCAATTTCTCAAAAGGGGACTTTTTCCCCCATTATCTGGGGCAGGATGCAGTCTGTCCATCCTCGACTGCACAGCTCAAGCTGGGGGGAAAGCAAAAAGCTTTTATATATGTAAAGTAGCTGGGTTTATAGCACAGAAATGCCAAATCCAAGACTCAATGTGGGCTTCCCACGAGCTCTAGGGGGCAGTCACAATAAAGTCGTGACACTCTTAACATTTGCTCCTTCTCTCTTCCAGGAGCAGCTTTGAGGCTTTCACCAGGCACCCGGAGGTGCAGGGCTCATCGCAGCAGCCCCTGGGCACCACAGCAGCCAAGTGGTGAGCAAAACCAGTGAATTGCAAGCCCAGAGGTAAGCCCAAGTAGCCACAAGGCAACCTAACTGCTTTAGACTTGAGCCATGATGCTCTCCTCCCCTTCTCAGCAACCCCAGATGTTTAAAGCTGAAGGAAGCATTGGCAGAGCCTCTCCATACCTTCAAAATCCACATCCCCAACCAGCCTTGACTTGGCAGTGACGGGATCCTGCACTCTGGTTATCCCCACGTCGATAACCGCAGCTCCTTCTTTGATCATGTCGGCTGTGATCAGGTTGGGAATGCCTGCAAGAGGGGAAAAACAGAACCATGTACTCAGGGTGGTGCTGAACAGGGCCCTCACCCCATCTCTGTGTTATGGTTGGACCCACCTGGGCCTTCTTGCCTCCCAAAATGGTTGGATTCAATGATCTTAAGGGTTGTTTTTTTTTCCAACCCAAACGATTCTATCATTGCACAAAATGCAAATCTACCCACAGTTGCACAACCAGAGAGTGTGAATCCTCAAATCTTGCACTTTAAGCCCATGGCCGTGCTTGTTCACGAGCTCCAGTGACAGGTTTTTTTGCACCTGCGCTGTCAGCAGCCTGGAGCAGAGTCTGAGACCACCACAGCCCAGCTTGGCAGAGGGACAGCTTCACCCGGGGCTGCGAAACCTTCGGTGCAACAGGGAGGGGTGGGGAGCAGCAGCCTGGGGCTAAGCCACCCTTTGGGGTGGGGCATTTGTCTGGTTCTGCCAGGTGTTGCCTCCTAGGTTGGCTGAGCCCAGGACCTCATTCCCCTCAGTTAACCCTTCCTGTGAGCCTTCCTCTGCTCTGCTGACCACCTTTGCTGATGTTCACGTCTTATCTGCCAGCACTGCATGCACCAACACCTTCAACACCACTTCTAATCCAGTGCTGTGTCTCTTCACACTCGATTTTTAACCCACATTTTTCTCTCCTCCATCCCCACAGGATCACACCCAGCTTCTGCTCTTAAATTGACCCCCCAAGTCAGCTCAACTCCACTACCTGGAGAACAGCAGACCTCTGAGTGATTCCCCATGCTCCAAAGATGGCCCTGCAGCCATCCCTTGGCAGTTTGGCTGTCTCTAGGTAAGCAGATTCTATCTTGGTTATTTTTTCTCCTCCACATAAATTCAGAGCTGTCTGTGTGTAACGGAGCCTGCCTGGAGCTGTTCTCTAGATCAGGTGCTCGCTGGCACACCAAGCCCTCCTGCCAGGTGTTATTTTACATTTCAAAGGCTACAAACACGATCATGTATGTGGCTCCTAGGCTTAACCACAGGACTAACTGGCTGGACGCTGTTTAAACAGCCCCTCGCTCACTGTCCTAGCCCTTGCCTACAGCCACAACAGCACCAGACTCCCCTATGCTGCCAGGAGGCCCCAGGACATCCAATCCCAACGGGATCGTCTCCTGCAAGCAAGGATTCCCATCGGAATCACCACACAAGCTGCAGTGTGGCACCCCCTGTGCGCCTCTTGCCTGTGCTGTCAGAGTCAGGGTCTCACATGTTGTCAATGTCTGGGGTCTCACCTGCTGCTGCTACCACGATATCGGCACGGATCGTGTGCTGCTTCAGCTGCTCCTTGGGAGTGTAGCGGTGGGAGATTGTGACTGTGGCATCGCCTGCAAGAGAGGTCACGTGGAGCTTTAATTCACATGAACTACCCAAACGCAGCCACTTCTCTAAATTTTCCCCTCCAAAACCACCCATCTATTTATCAGAAACTTCAGAGCCCAATGACAAACCCCAGGGAACAGCCTACAGCCTCAGGGGGAGCAATCTGGTGTGGGAGCGGGCAAGGACTCACTGAAAAAGGCCCCAAAATGTTACAAAACCATGTGCAGAGTTATCTCCTCAGCCCTGACCGCAGCCCATGTGATGGGCCAGAGTCCCTAAGGTGCTCCTGGACTGGTTTAGGAGCCTGAAGAGGCCAGTGTGACAAGCCAAGGGCTTCCTACCGCAGCAAAAAGCCACCAAGTCCCTACCTCCAGGGCGCTCGTGCCTGCCGTCCGTATGCAGCAACATGGCAATGGGCATGCCCACGTTCTTCGACCTGCCAGCCACCACCACATTCTTCCCCAAGGTTGGGATGCCTGCAGAGAATGAGACGGAGCCTTAAAGACAAGCACAGGCTGGAGTTATGCCGGACAGCAGGGAAATACTGCAGCAGCAGCAGCAGCTCACCAGTTCTCTTGATGATCTCCCACACCCCCCACGGGGTAGCTGGCAGCATGGAGTACTGGTCGAGGCACATACGCCCCACGTTTATCACGTGAAAGCCGTCAACGTCTTTGTCTGGAGTCACAGCGTTGCAAATCTTGCGCTCATCGATATGTTCTGGAAGAAAAACAGAAAGCTTCAACCCTAAGGATCAGCCAAAAGGATCAGAGCCCTGATCCTGCACCAGGCCCTGCAGAGCTGGGAAGCTGAAGCGACTCAAGACTTTCAACAGCTCCCAGCAGAACGGGACTGGAAACATTTTGGGACAACAGCGTTGCTAATCCTGAGAGGGTATTTTTAGGCAGGCTCAGCGTCACAACAGAGTTCAAGCTCCTGGCTCTGGAAGCTGATACTCCCAACACAAGAATAGATCTCGGTGTGACTTCACTTGCACAGGCAGCTGCGTGATGGAGTAGCTGCATCAACCTCTTTAAGCTGCATCGTGGCAAAGTAACACCTCCTGTCACAGAACAGCCCCTGTGCTGCTGCTTCTGGCACACACAAAACCCTTCAAAGCTTTTGGTAAAAAGGAGAGGGATGGAAATACCTCTACTCACCGGGTAGGGGAAGCTGCACTAACAGACCGTCCACATTGGCATCGTTATTGAGCTTGCTGATCAAATCCAGGAGCTCCTCCTCAGTAATGGAAGCCGGCCTGAGGATGGTTTCACTGCTGATTCCTGTGCAGTCATTGAAATAATTGCATTAGAGCCACGTGTGCACGAGTGGGAGAGCAATTTTCTTAATCCATGCAGATTTAAGCTGCCCCATCTCATCGCTCTACCAGACCCGATAGGCACACACCAAGGACTGTACACTTTGTGTAACAACGAGCACCTTCCAGGCTGGAGACCCTCCCAGATCTTGCAAATTATGGTTAAGGACCATAATGTACCAGTTTAATGACCTGACTATGTGAAAGCAGAGACCCTCTGAGTGCAGGGAGGGCTTGCAGTAACCTCACCAAAGATGAGAGTGCACATCCTGCGGTCCCTCTTGACACAGCGATGTTGGCCTAAAAATCCCAGCTCCACAGGCAGCTCCAGCAGCACAGAAGCCAAGATTTTTAAGCCATTTCTTGCTCCCTACCCCCCTTTTCGGCACATTTTCTCCAGCAGCACACTTGGCTGGACACCAAGCAGGACCCCAGCTTGCATGAGTGGAAGGAGGTGCAGGGCAGCAAAGCTGCTGAAGGACCCTAGGAGGGCT